AGAGCAAGGCGGATGTCCGCGGTATCTTGATCCGCTGGATTCGCGCTGTCCGTCTCCAGCTTCGCGCTCGGTTCCGTGAGGACCTCCCAGTCCTGCGGCTGCACTCTGACCGAGGTGGTGAATTTTACTCCCACCTCCTCGAGGACTTCTGTGGTGCTGAAGGCATCGTCCAGTCGTACACGCTTCCAGCCTCTCCACAGCAGAATGGGATTGCCGAGCGCCGCATTGGTCTAGTCATGGCCCTCCCCATTTTCTGTGGCCGTTTCCAGTCCGATACGCCGCTGAGCAGCTCAACCTCTGGCCCCGTGTCTCCCACCCGGAGACCCCCCCCACTTTGCGGTGGACGGGCGAGGTTGGTGATGTGTCGGCGTTTCGGGTCTGGGGTTCCCTCTCTCTTGTCCGCGATTTGCCTGCGGGCAAGCTCTCTCCACGCACAATTCGGTGCGTGTTCCTTGGCTTTCCCACCGACGCACCGCCCTGGCAGTTTTACCACCCGGGCTCTCGTCGTGTGCTGTCCTCCCGCGACGTCACCTTTGACGAGTCTGTCTGCTTCTACCGTCTTCACCCCCACCGCAGTTCCCCGGTACCCCTCCCGCCTCTCTCCTTGGTGGACGACCCTCCCCCGGTAGCCCCCTTCCCTCCTCCCGGTCCCGCTCCCTCAGGTGTGTCTCAGGTAGACCCACCCCCATTGGTTGAGCCTTTGGAGGTCTCCTCAAACACCTCTGTCTGGCCCAGCTGAGGGGGGTGACCAGACTGCTACCGACACCGTGGCCCCTCGCCGCTCCGCGCGCTTGGCGGTCCCTCCTGGCTTTCCGCCTCGGCCGTCTTCACCGCCTTTGCGGCCCATCGCTGTGGACTCTGGTGCTGCTGGAGGTGGTGACACTGGGGGTGCGGACTCTGGGGGTGCTGGCTCTGGGGGTGCTGCGAGTCCTACTGGTGCAGGGGGTGCTTGAGGTGCTGCTGCTGGAGTTTCTGCGGGTAGAGGTGCTGGTGGTGCTGGTGCTGGTGGTGCTGGTGCACGTCACCAGGAGACTCTCTCGCTGGAGCGGCTTCGCGAGTGGGCTGTCCGTTGGGGCAGTCCTGGTGGTGGCGATGGACGTGCTAGAGCTGCAAAATCTGGAGGTGCTGGCCCTGGAGGTGCTACTGCTGGTGTTCCTGGAGTTGGCCGTGCTGGAGGTACTGGTGCTGGAGGCACAGGTACTACTGGAGGTACTGGAGGTGCTGCTGCTGTGGCCGCTGCTGCGGGTAGTCCTGGCTCACGTCGCCACGAGTCTCTCTCGCCGGAGCGGCTTCGCGAGTGGGCTGTCCGTTGGGGCAGTCCCGGTGGTGGCGCTGGACGTGCTGGAGCTGCAGGTTCTGGAGGTGCTGGCCCTGGAGGTGCTGGTGCTGGTGTACAGGTGCTACTGGAGGTACTGGAGGTGCTGGCCCTGTAGGTGCTAGTGCCGTTGTTCCACGAGTTGGGGGTACTGGCGGTGCTGACACTGGAGGTGCTACTGGAGGTACTGGAGTTTGTGGTGCTAGTCGGCAGGAGTTGCTCTCGCCGCAGCAGCTTCGAGCGTGGGCTGTCCGTTGGGGCAGTCCCGGTGGTAGAGCTGGTGGTGCTGGTTCTGGGGGTGCTGTTCCTACTGAGACTCGAGGTTCTGAGGGTGTGACTACCCAGCCGCAGCAGTCTGTGCTTCGTCACCTTCTCAGTCTCCCGCCTGCTGCTACTGAGTTCCCAGTTGCTGGTACTACTCCTCCGTTGCTGTTCCCACCGACTGACCAGTCTAAGCCACAGCTACTACCTGGCTCCCCACTGCCTGCTCCTGCTCCCCACACGGAGGTGACAGAGTTTTGCTCTGAGCGTCGTGAGCCTGAGACTCGTCCTTCCACACCTGTTCGCGGTCGTCGTATTGTCTGTCCTCGTGCTCTAGCTGTGCCAGGCACTCTCCGTATGGCACTTCGTCCTTCCTCTGTTCCACAACGTGTTGTCCTGCTGTCTCCTCCTGCGTCTTCTCTTCCTCACGTTCATGACCCTGAGTAAGACCTTGTCCGTACTGCCAGTCCGACTGTCTCTCGTCTCCTTGCCACGGTTGTGACTGACCCGTCCTTTGAGTCTGCTGCTGCGTCTGCCTTAGTTGCTGAGCTTGTTGACTTTGCTGCTTTGTGCCGCCTTGAAGACGTTGCGAGTCTTGTTTTTGACTCTTCCTGTCCTCCGTCCGTCGGGGGTGAGTTTGCCATTGGCTCTGACGTTCTTGAGGACAGGCGTTTTGAGCTGGAGTGCCTTGCGGCCGCTGCACCTCATCTCGCGTCCACGCTACTTTGCCCTGAGGGAGACCCGGATGCACTAGACATCCCGACCCTGCGCACTTACGCAGAGGCGATCACGGGTCCGTACTCCTCTCAGTGGCAGATAGCCATGGACGTAGAGATGGCTTCCTGGAAGTCCACAGGCACCTACGTCGACGAGGTTCCCCCACCTGGGGCGAACATTGTCGATGGCATGTGGATTTTCAGGGTGAAGTGGACGCCGGGTTCTCCGCCTGCCTTCAAGGCGCGTTACGTTGCACGAGGCTTCAGTCAGTGTGAGGGGGTCGACTTCTTCCAGACCTTCTCCCCCACCCCGAAGATGACCACTCTTCGGGTGCTACTGCACGTTGCAGCCCACCGTGACTACGAGCTGCACTCCCTCGACTTCTCGACAGCCTTCCTGCAGGGCAGCCTTCACGAGGCTATATGGTTGCGCCGCCCACGTGGCTTCACTGGGTCGTTTCCTGAGGGTACCCAGTGGAGTCTTCGGCAACCAGTCTACGGCCTACGACAAGCGCCCCGTGAGTGGCACGACATACTGAGGACTACACTTGCGGCTCTTGGCTTCGCTCCCTCGACTGCTGACCTTTCGCTGTTTCTGTGCACAGACACTTCTCTGCCGCCGTTCTACGTTCTCGTGTACGTTGACGACTTGGTTTTTGCTACTGCTGACACTGAGGCTCTGGCCTTAGTGAAGGCGGAGCTGCAGGATAGACACACCTGCACTGACCTGGGTGAGCTGCGGAGCTCTCTTGGCTTGCAGATCACCCGGGACAGAGCATGCCGCACCATCACCCTCACTCAGTCACACATGGTGCAGCAGGTCCTCCAGCGCTTCGACTTCTCGTGGTCATCGCCACAGCCCACTCCACTGTCTACCGGCCACTGGCTCTCAGCTCCACCTTCGGACGAGTCCGTAGAGCCGAGTGGTCCGTACCCAGAGCTTGTGGGTTGCCTCATGTACCTGATGACGTGCACACGACCAGACCTCGCGTACCCTCTCAGCCTCCTGGCTCGCTACGTGGCTCCCGGTAGGCACCGAAAGGTGCACTGGGAAGCTGCGAAGAGGGTATTGCATTACTTGTGCAGTACATCAGGCATGGGGCTCGTGCTTGGAGGACGGGGTTCAGTTGTTCTCACCGGTCACTCAGACGCTTCTTGGGCTGACGACCAGATGACTCACCGGTCGACATAGGGGTACAGTTTCAGCCTCAGCACTGGTTCTGTCTCGTGGAGGTCCACTCGCTCTTCTTCTGTACTTAGTTCCAGCTGTGAGGCCGAGATCTACGCTGGGGCTATGGCTGCACAAGAGCTCCGCTGGCTGACCTACCTGCTGACCGACTTGGGTGAGCGGCCTCGTTCTCCTCCAGTTCTGTACGTCGACAACAAGGCCATGATTGCCTTGTGGCGGGACCAGAGACTGGAGCACAGAACGAAGCACATTGATCTCCGTTACTTCCTCACGCGAGAGCTGCAGCAGCGTGGTCAGCTTCGTCTTGCTTACGTGGCCACACGGGCCAACACTGCTGATGTCTTCACCAAGTCCCTCGGGTCTAGTTTTCATCAGCGTTTCTGCACTGCTCTTGGGCTTGTGCCCACTCTGCCTCACTTGTTTGTCTCTTGATCTTGCTCTTGTTGTACACTGATATATATGAGTATACCTGCATGCTTACACTTGCTAGGTTGTGATCAGTGTACTACTCTTGCTATTATAAACTTTGCATGTGAACTGGCCTTGTGGCCGCTTGCTTGTGCTAAGAATGCGTGGTGATCTTGAGATCCACCCTGAGCTTTGCTTTGCTTTGTTCTCTTGCTTGACTGGTCTTGTGACCGTTCGTCAGGCCCTCAGATTCGTTTTTGGCCTGTCTGATTCGTCAGACTCTCTCTCTCAGTATTAGTCTGAAATTCTCAGAGTTGTTAAAAAAAAAAGTCTGATTGTGCAGAGTCTGTTTAAAAATAAGTCTGAAACTTTCAGAGTACACTCAAGTAAAAGTCTGATTGTGCTTGTTGTAGCCCTAGTAGGCTAGTAGTCATATTGAATCAAGCCTACTTCTCATACAGCTTTGCCTACATTCACACTACTACTACTACTACTACTACTACTACTACTAATGCTGCTGCTTAGCCTTCACAAGTTCACAGTTAGAATAGAACTAACTAACTAACTACCCTACCTACATCCAGTCAGCAAATCCATCGTCATCATCACTGTCAACTGCATCTTTCTCAGCGTCTAAGTCTACCAGTTCCATCTCTTCATCAACCTCCTTGCCCTTCTTGTTCCTTCCTGCAGGCGGGAGTGGAGCGTTGCTTTGGGGCTTGCGCTTCTTGTAGCTCCTCCAGATGGTCACAATTTCATCCCACTTGGGCTCATAGTCCATGAGACTCATGCACATGAGGTCTCCTAGGCGTGCATCTTTCAGCGCGCCTCTCTGCCACGACTTGATGATGTTCTGGCGGGAGAATCCCCGCTCGCACTCCACTGTGCTCAGCTTCAGTACGGCTACTGCCACCCACAGAAGCACGAGGTTGGGGTAGTTGTCCCGCCAGTCGGGTGTCTTGAGCATGGCAGTGAGCCCGGCGTGGAAGCTGCGCTCGTTCTTGGTGGTTGCTGCAAGCACCGAGGAGAACATGCGCAGCTCCTTCTCCGCACGACGCTTGTTGATTCCTGGTGGGGGAGGAAGAGTAACAGTAGACGATGCTTAGTGAATTTACAGTGAAGCACAACATATGCAATGCCAATTACAACAGTTACATGTGAAGTACACAAACATGGGCTTACTGGGTAGGATCTCCTCGGTCAGGTCGGCCTTGAAGAGGGTCACAAGCGACTCCAGCCACTCCATGCATCTGCGGTTCCTCTCTCCTTGCTCCAGCGGGTACTCGTCGGGGGTGAAAAGCCTTGCCCCAGACATCCCTTCCAGATCGCCAAACCGATGAAGCAGCTGGTGCACGATCACCTCGGCGAACTCGGTGCAGAACTTAATGCAAGCATCGTGGGTCCCAGGCCCATCATAGTCCTCATGCTCGTCCTCATGCAGCCTGAAGGTGAAGCGTGCAGGGCGGCCGTCCGAGTCGACACCCTCGACAGTAACCTCCTTGTTTCCTCCTGGGCCGTGGCGCGTGATGAAGGGGGACAGCAGCTCGCTGACGCCGCCACCGAAGTCGTCGCCGCAATCGACGTAGCGGCTCTCGATGTGGGACGTTGTGCGCTTGATCTGCGCATGCACGCCCACATAGTCAAGCTGGACAGAAACAAGGCACAAGGTAGTTAGCTCATGCGCACGGTAAGCATGCTGGAAAGAAGCAGCACTAGAACTTAGCAGAAGAGGATATTGACCAAGCATGTAACAACAATGATAGGACACTATAACATTGAGCTCACCTCTTTGTGCTGGAAGGCCCTGTTCAAGATGTTGAGCTGCTCAAGCACGTCTGCTATAAAAAACAGTAGAAAGTGAAACCTGTAGCTTGTCACGAGCGCATACAGCTCCGCGTCCCACTCCTTCAGCATCACGATGAGAGCCGGCAACACTTTCAGAAGCCTCTGCACCGCGTCACCCCTCGATAGCCAGCGGACGGTATGAATGCCTTGCAGCTCCAGTGAAGTTGACGTGAAAACTTCCTGCAAGCCCATGAAGCGCTGGTGCCATGGCCCAGAGCGGCCGAGATGCTCTGCCACTGTCTGAATCACCTTGTCAATGACGTTGAAGGCGGGGATTTTCTCGGCGGCAGTTTTAGCCGCCAGTGCCTCCCTGTACAACACGAGTGAAGGACATTAGTGAGACTGTCAAATAGAATATGTAAACATTGCACTGCACGATTAGGCACAAACATTCCAGACAGTACCTGTGCGCGATGCAGTGGGATGACACCAAATGTGGGATGCGCAGGCGGAGGCGTGTCGTGAGGCCAGACTGTTTGCCCATCATGACTGCCGCACCGTCGGTGCTGATGCCTGCAATTCTCTGAAGGTCGATCCCCACCGCCTGCAGGTGTGCCACCAAGCTAGCCAGAAGAGAGGCTGCGTCGGCCTTGTCCACGGTGAGTAGGGCCATGAACTCCGTGACAAGCTTGAACTCGCGGATGAAGGTGATGAAGATGATAAGGTGCTTCCCGCTGCACCTATCAGTGCTCTCGTCGATCGAGATGCCGACGAAGGGCGACGCCAGCACGTGATCCAGCTGGGTTGTCTGGAGCCATGTCGCCGTCGCTTGCGTCAGCTCACCGAAGCCGTATCTGCAACAGGAAACAACAGTGAGTATCAAATCTTTGACGTAATTACTGGAAACACATATTATTACAGCAGCTCACATAAAGTGTTCATCACTCACGTCGTATAGTACGTGCCGTAACCCTTCTTCGGGAAGCCCTGCACGCCCTTCTCCGCCAGATACCGCACCAGTTTCACCCACATCCCCATGGGCGCGTCGGACCTGCTGATGAAAAGCAACGAGTCGAGAAGGGCGATGACGCGCAGCTTCTCAGTATCAACCGTTGCGCGATGTTGGTCGATAAGCGGCTGCGTTGCCCGGCACTCCTGCGCAGATGTCAACCTCGCCATCGCCAGCTTGTGCTTCGCCGTGCCAGCATGTTTCCGAAACGACTGTGTCTGCAAATCGGTAGCACCTCTCCCACTCCTCCCCCACTTGCCTGCATCGCCAGCAAATGACACACACACAGTACACTTGAACGCAGGCAAACCAGAGGCGACTTTAGTGATCCGAAGCCACGGAAAACGAGCAGACCAGTGACTCTTAAACTTGTCAATCGCCTCATCGTAGACTTCTTCGATAAGCTCGTCCAGATTGATGTTACGGCGTGGACGCGGTCGCTCAGATGTTCCGGGGGCGTTGACGTCGGCGGACGACGACGATGCCTTGCAGAAGCTCAATGTCGCCTGCTTGAGCCGGATCGTGCGCGCCGTGGTCAGAGTCGGATGCTGCGAGGCCGATGCGACAGTTGGTTCCGCAGCTGTCTCTGCCACAGGGTCGGCAGACAGTGAGATAACCGGTGCCGTGGGTTCTTTCTGTGTGGGGATCGTATCGGGCGTGGCGCGTGCTGCCTTCTCGAGTTCTAACGTACTGAGAAGAAAGTCTAAGCCTGTTAAGGCAGGCTGGGAATCAGGGTCGGGATCGCTGGAGCCGGGATTGTCCAGCACCGCCATGGCGGGGTTCAGAAAGAGCCTGCCGAGCAGGAACAAGAAATGTGTTCGCGAGGCAAAACTAGGGACTGGCTGAGGCCAGTCAACACCAGCTAGGGGGTGTGGATGAAACCCTAGCTGAAAGGTGATGGCAATATACAAGACAAGGAGTCGTTGAGGTGGGTGGGTGGTTGCCTAGCATGCACGGCAACGACGAGGCGCGTCAGAAGTGCAATGCTGTCAGCATTGTGTCGTGGGTGCAAGGCCGGTCCGTGATGGCACACAGAAGCTGCCATAAGGACCAATCGGTGCTCTAGCAGGGTGTGCGCTGGTGTTTACGTGGGAAAAACCGCGTCGCAGGGCGGCCACGCCCACAAAACTTGACTGTTGATGTGTGGTCCCAGGTTACGCGTGATTGACGGCCCAGGTACACGTACTAGCGCAAATCGTGGGTGTCGGTGCCAAGGTACATTGAATCAGTTTCAGAGTCGGTACGCGTTTGACTCTGAATTATCAGAGTACACTCAAGAAAATCTCTGAAATTGCAGAGCTGGCTTTAAAAAAACTCTGAAAGTTACAGAGTTGAGGCTAAAAAAAGTCTGAATTTAACAGACAACACTAAAAATAAAGTCTGAAATATCAGACTTTTATAGGCAAATCAGAGAAATTTCTCTGACTTCATGGGGCCTGCCGTTCGTTGTGTTTGCTATCCCCCACTTTGCCTATGGGGGGGTGTCAAACTATGTTTGTCTGCTCTAGGCTGTAGTGGGGCATACTCTAGTGAGTACAACCCCTTCGGGTTTCCTAGTTGTACTCACAACCCTAATCAATCCAACACTCCTTGACAGACTCAACAATAATTGCCCCCAATATTACGTACTGAAACTCAAGGCAATAACAGTACTTGCTAAGTTCTGCATGGCCTGGGAGGCGCAAGAGAAATGTCACACATACCGTATCTACTGCTTGTCAACTAGTATACTTTGGTGTCTTGGGAGGGATCATAGGAGGAAATATCAACTGGATATGCAGCTCAGGTGGCTATGCTAGTATTGCAGCAGCTTCCGCCCTTTCACCATGCCTTGGCTACTCAGCAATCCGAAGCTGCTTCCGAGCCTGCTCCTGCCCACCAAGCCATTGGTACTTCCAAAACCCCCAACAGAGCTCCCACCAAACATCCCTCCCAACCCACCTCCTCCAAACCCCCCTCCTCCAAACCCCCCTCCTCCAAACCCCCCTCCTCCGAACCCCCCCCCTCCCAAACCCCCTCCTCCTGTGCCACCCCCTGACCCCCCCCCCTGTGTCATATGGAGAAGGGGCGATGCACGTCTGGCAGAAGGAGGGGCAGATACGGCTGCAAAAGTAGTTGGGATAAGGTGGAGAGGCCAGCTTCTTGAGTTGGGAGGAGCAGGGGGTGCTGTCAGCAGGGCATGTGAGTGTGCTGTCGACCATTCTGCAAGAGGCCAGACCCCGAGGGGGTGATGGAGGGAAGGGTGCAGAGGAGAATGGTTGGTGTGAGGACAAGAGAGGACATGAAGCTTGTCGGTCTTTGCCCAGTCTCTAAAAAAATATCAGGTGGAGAGCACATGGTGCGTTGCCATGGGGGCGCACGAGATAAGTCACTCACATTTTTCCCATGGGATAAGTCACTCACATTTTTCCCATGGGATAAGTCACTCACATTTTTCCCATGGGACAAGTCACTCACATTTTTCCCATGGAACAAGTCACTCACATTTTTCCCATGGAACAAGTCACTCACATTTTTCCCATGGAACAAGTCACTCACATTTTTCCCATGGAACAAGTCACTCACATTTTTCCCATGGGACAAGTCACTCACATTTTTCCCATGGAACAAGTCACTCACATTTTTCCCATGGAACAAGTCACTCACATTTTTCCCATGGAACAAGTCACTCACATTTTTCCCATGGAACAAGTCACTCACATTTTTCCCATGGAACAAGTCACTCACATTTTTCCCATCGAACAAGTCACTCACATTTTCCCATGGAACAAGTCACTCACATTTTCCCATGGGACAAGTCACTCACATTTTCCCATGGGACAAGTCACTCACTTTTTCCCATGGGATGAGTCACTCACATTTGAGGTGGAGAGCGGTGCCATGGAAAAGCTCAAGCGTTTGAGAATTCTTGCAGGCGAATTCCGGCACTCACATTTTTGCAGCGAAGTCGCCAAGATAGGGTGGAAGCTCCCCTTCAAACTGGTTCTCTGACAAATACCTGAGTAGTTTGAAGAGATGTGAAACACAAGGTTGCATGAGAAGTTGAAGAGAAGTGAAACATCACTGAGAAAAGCTTGTGAATTTGAAAAAAAAGGTGGGTTCCTAAAGAAGCTATAAGGATCCATTGTTAGTTCAAACAGCGAGGTAACCAACAATACAGAGACTTGACTCGTGCCAGGACTCCATATTTGTTTTGAGACGTCTCAAAACAAATTTACTTTTGCGTGGCAATATCACATTTGCGCCAGGACTGCATATTTGTTCCGAGAATTGTGAACACTGATGAAGGCTAGGCCAGTTTGACCCCTCCTTACAGTGCCGACATGGACCAGTTGAAAGCAGAGGGAGGCAGGGGCCCTGAGAGGTTGTTGCGCCGCAGATCACTGAAAGAAGGAAGCAGCACGAAGAGCAAGGAGAGCAAGAAGTGTAAGAAGAGCAAGAAGTGTAAGAAGAGCAAGAAGTGTAAGAAGAGCAAGAAGTGTAAGAAGAGCAAGAAGTGTAAGAAGAGCAAGAATAAAAAAAAGAGGATGATCTGTGAGGCGCCGCAATCATAGAAATGCTGGACTTCCCCGACTCCCATGCCCATCTCACATGCCCTCTTCACATGGCCCGCTCACATGCCCCAGGCGTTCGTTAACCGTGACATGGACGCAGGAAGAGACCCTGTCAGGTTGTTTCCTGCAATGTAGCTGAAAGGACACGGGACAGAGGAGGGACAGCAGAGCGGCAAAGGAGGGACAAAGGAGGAGGGACAGACAAGGGATGGAAGTAAAGAGGAATTACCTCGAGACATGTAAAAAACTACAACAATGATGGTGATGGGGAAGAGGTATGCATGGCAAGCGTTTCAGGAACGTGGACAGAATTCTGGCCATGGCATATAGAAGTCAGCTAGAAGGAGTTGACTTTTGAGTCGACTCAAAAGTCCACAAGGTGGACAGAATTCTGGCTATGGCTTACAGGGTTTCCAAGTTAGTTAGAAGGCCGATGGACTCTGGGATGCCTCCGCTGATGCTGTTGTTGCTCAGCTCGCTGCACTTGTGCAAAATTGCAGCGGGAATGAGACCCCAGATATGCTATATCATAGAGACTACACCTGACACGCAGCAAAGGCAAACAGAAACAGCAGTTCTTGGCTAGAAATCCTATACCTATAGAACTCGACCTATAGATTTTTTGAGACATTTCAAATTCGGGTCAGCAACGCATGCTTACAGCCTAAAGAGCTTGGAGAAGTTTTCGAGTGAGGAGGGGAGAGAGCCGTTGATTCCGTTAGAAGACAGGTCGCTGGAGGAGACGACAGGAGACAAATGGACACATGGGATGCATAAGGGAGGAGTAGGAGAGCGGTAGGAGACATGAGAAAGTAGAAGGTGAAAAAGGGGAGGCATGTGAAAAGATGAGTAGGAGGACACATGAGACAGTAGGAGGAAATGTAGTGAGCAGTAGATTAGAGCGTGGCCTTTGGTTCGAGTCGAAGCGGTTCGAGCCGCGCACAACCTCGAGCCCACATTCCCTTCTCTCCTTTTCTCGCGCACAACATGTTCGACACAACCAGCAGCTCGAAGAGGTCCCGCGTGGTTCTGCTGCTGCGGGTCCCTCTTTGCGCCGGGAAGTGGAAGTTTGATTGACCTCATTCTCAAGCTCCAACTTCTGTCGCACAGGTTTCCCCCAGCCCCCTACCATCGTATCCCTTTCCCACAGAAAAATATCCACTTACTTTACACAATGCTTTGCAGGTGGTGTTTAGGGAGTTTCAGGGCGGATTTTGAGTGTGATTTGCTTAGTTCTCTTACGTGGTTGACCCGAACCAGCACTTTGCGCGGTTCGGATCGATCCGATTTCAGCCCAGAACACAGTGGAGGCAAGTAGCAGAGGGATCCTTTGAGGGTGCAATTCGAACTGGTTGAGGTTCGGCTCAATTACCATTGGGGCTCAACCCAGTTCGAACCGAACTGTTTGGGTTCGACCCCTGCTCATACCTAAGCTCCCTTCATGCTTACATCATGCTTTGCTTACATCATGCTTTGCTTACATCATGCTTCGCTTACATCATGCTTGGCTTACATCATGTTTTGCTTACATCATGCTTTGCTTACATCATGCTTTGCTTACATCATGCTTTGCTTACATCATGCTTTGCTTACATCATGCTTTGCTTACATCATGCTTTGCTTACATCATGCTTTGCTTACATCATGCTTTGCTTACATCATGCTTTGCTTACATCATGCTTTGCTTACATCATGCTTCGCTTACATCATGCTTCGCTTACATCATGCTTCGCTTACATCATGCTTCGCTTACATCATGCTTCGCTTACATCATGCTTTGCTTACATCATGCTTTGCTTACATCATGCTTTGCTTACATCATGCTTTGCTTACATCATGCTTTGCTTACATCATGCTTTGCTTACATCATGCTTCGCTTACCTCATGCTTTGCTTACATCATGCTTTGCTTACATCATGCTTTGCTTACATCATGCTTTGCTTACATCATGCTTTGCTTACATCATGCTTTGCTTACATCATGCTTTGCTTACATCATGCTTTGCTTACATCATGCTTTGCTTACATCATGCTTTGCTTACATCATGCTTTGCTTACATCATGCTTTGCTTACATCATGCTTTGCTTACATCATGCTTTGCTTACATCATGCTTTGCTTACATCATGGTGAGAGATGACAGGTTGGCAAGGAAGGCGGGGAACGAGCCAGAGAGCTGGTTGTTGGCCAAGTTGCTGAGGGAAGGGGAAGAAAAAGAAGGCGACGGAGGAACATATGGAGGAACACTTGCAATGACTGAGAAAGAATGCATCAAAGAAGAACCGGAGAGGGATGACAGACACACAGAGATCCAGAAAGCTGGGTCTTGGTCAGCTGGCTGTAGGGTAGGGAGCGAAGAAGGACACACAGAGAAACGCGCAGAGAAGGGCGAGAAGAGAAAACGGGACGAGAGGATCCAAACAAGATAAAAGGATGGCAATGAGGTGCTTATGGTCCACATAGTAGTTAATGTTATGCTGCTATATGACATATTTTGCACTATTTGTTTTAGTGGCTGCAGAATGTATCCCATACTTTCGACAAAGTACACTTTGTTTTGGCAAAAGACCCTGTTTAGGTTCAAGCCACAATCTCGTTCTCAAGTTGTCAACCCTTGTATTCCACAATACGTGCTTTCAGTCTCAAAACATTTGCATTCCACAATAGCTGCCTTTTCGATCAACTCCAAAGTAGCTACCTATACTGCCTTACATACATGCTCTCGAGTGCTTGGAGCTTCACAAGGGTGGGAGGCAAAGTGCCATTAAGCTTTGCAAACTTGACGTTTCTGCAGCAAAGAAGGTATGCAAGGGGGAAGTGTTGAACCCGACAAACCCAACAAGGTCGATCTATCTAAGAACATACTTCGGAACCATAAAACAAGGGGGAGAGTGAACGAGAGCTGTGAAAATACTGATGCTGCTGCAGCAAGAAATAATGGAAGGGGGAAGGGCAAACACAGAGTTGGAAATGTGCTTGTACGATGCTGCTGTTGGTGCTGAGACATAGGTCACGGGAACAACATGCCATTGCCATGCTCACAGCATCATGAGCGCTTTCAGGGAGCCGATGGTGGAGGGTACGCTTGCTGACATGGGGTTGTAAGAAAGGTCCCTGTGCCGTGCAGGTGGATGGGTAGGATGGGTGGAACGTGGTGGAGGTGGGGGAGGGTTTGGTTGGTGGATGGGTAGGAGAAATGAGAGCACCACTGTCAACGTCAGAAAAAAAGAAAGAGTTATTATATAATACGACACGCTTTTTACGGTCGTATTTTATGACAGGTTTATGTAAAGCAGGCATGATGAGCCAACGGATGAACCTGGTCCGGCCCGGACCTTTCCCTTGGTGGGTCATCTGGATTGGGGTGGACCGGGTTCCACCTGGTGGCCCGGACCTTTCCTTTGCAGGTTTGCCGAGAGTTGAACCGGGCCGGTTCGCCTCGAGCTGCGGCCCGCGCAGAAGCATGTGGTTCTGGGATTGGAATCGGCTTTTGCAGCAAACTGAATCCGGACCTGGCGCGCCTTAAACCTGAACCGGGCCAGGTCAGGCTAGCCCGTGGCCCAGCCCATGCTCATGCTCATGCCCATGCCCATGCCTAGCGTAACTTTCAACGGTCTGTGGAGTTTGAGGAGATTTTATGTCACGTATGCAATACTTTCAGCTTCTTGTGGGGCGTGCTATAAAGCGTACAAGGATTGGAGCTTCTTCAAGGAGCCAATGCCAGGAGGTATAGAGCCAGTGATGTGGTTGGCCCTTAAACTCCTGCACTATCCACATTATGGAGACACCGCTAACATGCCCCGCCATGCCATCACCAGCCAGCACACAGCATAGCATGCAAGGCCATGCCATCATGGGCACATGAACAATGAAAGGTCCAGGAGAGTGCGTGAATGAGTGCAGTCATAGTCAACCTATGAAAAGCGTCAAGAACATAGAGCCTATTACTACTAATTTGGCATGATCCTAGTACAAATCCCCAATCCGGTTCGAGGCGAACGATCTGGTTCAACCAGAACCGCTTCAGGTTTGGCTTGAACCAGTTCGACTGGTACGAAGGTTTGACGCGGCCACGTGACTAAAGTCGTGGCAATATTAGGGCAATTTAAGAAAGATGGGGCCAATATTTTGTGTTTTCTTTTTTTACATTGCGCCCATGGGTGCCTCCATCCTACTACTTTTGGGGCTACGGTTATTTAGGCTGTCATGCTTTTAATCTAGAATAGCATTGAGGATATGAATTAGATATAATGGCAAGACAAAACATTATTTAGGGAGAAGACTGTAGCGAGGAAGAGATGCGGGAAAGAGGTATGGCGGGAAGGAAATCGAGGCGAAAAGAAGCGAGGCTACCGTTGTGAGCAACGGTAACCAGATGGGGAATACTTAGGCAAGGAGAAAGGGAAGTAGGAAACTGCTTGCTTGTTTGTTTACACACTTAGTGCCTAGCGAACAACATCTGGTCCGAACGTGGTGATGCCAATATGAGCAAGCTGTGGGAGGAGGCCTCTGATAGCCAGAAGAGTGAGCTGCCGAGCAAAAAGGCCGAACCAGGAATTGAATCTGCTGATCAGACAGCAGCTTTTACAAGTGAGCAGAGCTGATGGCCACAAGGGGAGACAGGTCAGGGAGCTGAGAGGGATTGGAGGAAGGGCAGTGAACAGAAGTGGCAGAGGGCAGGAGCAATGAGGCCAGGAAGAGAAGAAGAAGCAAGACAAGGAGTCGGACAAGAGAAGATTTACGACAAGGCACACTGTTGTTTACATGCTTTAGGCAACCAAACTCGAACCAGTTCCACCCGAACCGGTTCTGGTACTCGGATGGGCCAAGTACTGGTGATTTGGCGAAGGCCCTGCCGGTTTGACCCGAACCAATGCTGGTTCGGCTCCGGCCGGTTCGACCTGGCTCGGTCAGTCCTGTTCGGTACTTTTGCTCACTACAAAGCAAAGCAACATAGAAAGCAAAACTTACCAAACAACAAGGTTAGAGAGCTTTGAGATGGACGCAGGAATGAGCCGTTAAACGCATTGCTATGAAGGAACCTGAACAGTGAACAAATGTATACGGGTGCGATTGGAAAAATACTTCATCACAAACATACAAAAATGATGTTTATTGATGTAGCTCTACCACATACTCTATTACAGAATATAGAACACAAAAATCTCGATATAAAACTCTACCACAAAACATGGAACTTAAAAATTTGTCGGTCAGTCAATGACATCGGGGTGCGACGAT